ATGGACATGTACAAAATTAACGTTTTCATGCCTGTTAACATAGTATTCATTGTGAAGGCCAGGGATCAAGGAATGATTTTGACTTTCAAGTTTTATTATTGAAGAAATACATTTTGTAAGGCTATAGCTCCCATAGATAGTGGTTCCTCTGATGGATCTGGGCAGAGTAAATTGAAACCTTTTAGAAAGGATTTCTTGTTCCAGATTCCGCTAAGAACATTTGTGACTCCTGAGAAGAGGTCAAAATACCAACATTAATTAACAAGAGTTTGGAAGAAGTTGATTCCAGCCCTCAGGAATGACTATGAGGGGTTCAAGACGGCAGTGGAGGATGTAACTGCCGATGTGGTGGAAACGGGAAGAGAACTGGAATGAGCAGTGGAGCCTGGAGATGGAACTGAATTGCTGCAACGCAGGATAAAACTTTAATTTATGAGGAGTTGCTTCTTTTTCTTTTAAGATTTTATTTATTTATTAGGGAGAAAGAGCATAAGCGAGGTGGGGGGGAGGGGGAGGGGGGGGAGAGGGACAAGCCAACTCCCCGCTAAGCAGGGATTCCCAGGACCTTGAGATCATGACCTGAGCTGAAACCAAGAGGAGCCCCCAAAGGATTTAGAATATTACATAAACTTAGTCGATAAGGCAGTGTCAGGGTGTGAGAGGATTGACGCCAATGTTGAAAGAAGTTCTCTGGACAAAATGCTATCAAACAGCATTGCATGCTACAGAGAAATTGTTAATCACCACCACCCTCATTAGTCAGCAGCCATCCACATTGAGGCAAGACCCTCCACCAGCAAAAAGATTATGACTTGCTGAAAGTTCAGGTGATGGTTAGCATTTTTTAGTAATAGAATATTTTTAAATTAAGGGATGTACATTTTTTTTTTAGACACAATGCTATTACACAATTAAAAGACTACAGTATGGTATAAACATAACTTTTATATGCACTGGGAAACCAAAAAAATTCAGTTGACTGGCTTTATTGGGATATTTACTTTATTGCCATGGTCTGGAATTGAACCCACGTTGTCTTTGAGGTTTGCCCTTAATCCCTTACACCATTAAAATGATCTTGGTCAGTCAGAGTGCCTGGTGGCAACAATGTGCAGGAGAGGTGAGGAGCAGGAGTTGGGGAGTGGAGCTGCTGCAGGCCTGCAAATTAAAAACCAAAACCAAACCACATCTCAGCTCCACATATTAGCATCTGGCTTAAAGAAGACACTGTAGTAGCATTCCTGTCAAAGTCAGGAATAAGACGAGGATGACCACTGTCATTATTCAGCCATATTCAAAGATGCCAGCCAACAGATTTAGAAACAGAAATGTGGGTCAGAAAACAGAAATAACACAATGGAGGGGAGGGGTTAATTACTTGCTCAGGTTGTTAGATAACTGGTGATCCAATCAACTAACAACTATTACAAGCATTAAGATAATTCTGGAAACTGGCTGGCACGGTATCAATATAGAGAAATACAATAGTATTCATATATAAAAGTAAGGATATATTTGTTAAAATAACGAAGAAAAGACCCTATTTATAATACCAACAAAAAAAATCAACAGGTAAAATGTAAAGTATATAAAGGAATCTTCCATTTATTTATTTATTTATTTATTTTTTTAAAGATTTTTATTTATTTATTTGACAGAGAGAGAGAGACAGCGAGAGAGAGAACAGAAGCAGGGGGAGTGGGAGAGGGAGAAGCAGGCTTCCTGCTGAGCAGGGAGCCCGATGTGGGGCTCGATCCCAGGACCCTGGAACCATGACCCGAGCCGAAGGCAGACGCGTAACGACTGAGCCACCCAGGCACCCCAGGAATCTTCCATTTAATCTGAATTATTAAATTTGTTGGCATGAAGTTGTCCATAACATTCCCTTACCCTTTTTTTAAAAAAACAGCTTTATTATGATGAAATTCATATACCATAAAATCTACCCACTTAAAGTGTGTAAGCCAGTGGCTTTTATTCTATTCAGAATTGTGTGTACATCACCACAATCTAACTGTAGAACATTTTCATCCTTCCCGAAAGGAACCCTGTATCTATTAGCAGTCATTGTCCATTCACCCCTCCCCTTGTGAAACATTAATTGAACATGGCCATACAGGTTTCTGGACACTCAGTTCTATTATGAGTCTTCACTATATGTCTATATGTTCACTGTATGTCTATCCTTATGCTAGTACCACAGTGTCTTCATTATTTCAGCTTTGTATAAGTTTGAGATAGAGAAGTATACATTCTATAACTTTGTGGGGTTTCAAGATTATTTTTTTTATTCTGAGTCCCTTTTATTTCTATATGAATTTTAGGATCAGCATGTCAATTTCTGCAAGGAAACTAATTGGGATTTTGTTAGGGATCTAGACATCTATAGATCAGTTTGGGAGGTATTACCATTTTAATAATACTATCTTATGATCAGTGAACATGAATGTCTTTCCATTTATTTAGATCTTTAATTTCTTTCCATGTTTTGTTTCCAGTGTGTAAGTCTTACACTTTTGTGAAATTTATTACTATTTTATTCATTTTGATGATAATTGTAAATGGAAATGTTTTCTTGATTTCATTTTTGGATTTTTACTGCTAGTGTATAGAAATGCAATTTTTGTATATTCTTATATGTTGCAGTCTTGAGAACTCATTTATTCTAATAGTTTTTTAGTGGATTTCTTAGGATTTCTGTATAAAAGATCATGTCATCTTGCAAACAGAAATAGCATTACTTCTTCCATTCTAATCTGGATGCCTTTTATTTCTTCTTCTTCCATGATTGCCCTGGCTAGGCCTCTCTAAAGTTGAGTGGTGAGGGTGGACATCCTTGTTTTCCTGATCTTAGGGGTAGAGCTTTTTTTTTAAAGATTTTATTTATTTATTTGAGAGAGAGAGAATGAGAGATAGAGAACACGAGAGGGAAGAGGGTCAGAGGGAGAAGCAGACTCCCCGCCGAGCAGGGAGCCCGATGTGGGACTCCATCCTGGGACTCCAGGACCATGACCCGAGCCGAAGGCAGCCGCTCAACCAACTGAGCCACCCAGGCGCCCAGGGGTAGAGCTTTTAAGTGTGTTGTGAGTTAAGTATGATGTGAGCCCTGGGATTTTTGTGGATTCCCTTTATCCTGTTGGAGAAGTTCTCTTCTGTGTCTAGTTTTTTATGCTGCTTCCCTCCGCCCCCCCCCGTACAGCAGTGTTGAATTTTGTCAAATGGTTTTTCTATGTGTGTTCAGATGATCATGTGGTTTTTATCCTTCAGTATTCTATTAATATAATATATTACATTAATTGATTTTCAGATGTTAAGCCAACCTTACATTCCTAGGATAAATTGTACTTGGTCATAGTATATAATCATTTTTATATTTTGCTGGATTTGGTTTGCTAATATATTGTTCTTTTGGTGTTCTGAGACTTAATATTCAACATGGAGAAGAGGGGGGGTTAAACTCAATTCAGTTCTGACACCATCTACCCAGAGATAGCACCAGATTCCACAGATGAAATAAAGGCTCAGTCCTGTAAGACTTCCCCCACTCCCCAACTTCAGACACCAGTCACAAGCCCAGCCTGTGCTTCCAACAATCCCCTCCTTGGACTTCAGATACCAGTCATAAGTCCAGGTTGTTAACTGTACTTTCCGACCAACTGGCTGTTATAAATCAGAGGTTCCCATGACCCTCTCCTTCCTTGGGTTTAATTAATTACCTGTAATGGCTCACAAAACTCAGGGAAACATTTTACTCACCAGATTACCCATTTATTATAAAAGGATAAAACTTAGGAACAAGCCATATGGAAGAGATGCATAGGGCAAGGTATTTGGGAAGTTTTCATGCCCTCTCTAGGCATGCTGTTCTCCCCAAATCTCCACCTATTCACCCTATTCACAGTTGTTTATATTATTCTCATAATTTTAAAATTTCTGTAGGGTTGGTAGTGGTGGCCCTTCTTTCATTCTTAGTTTTAGTAACTTGAGTCTTTTTTTTTTCTTGGTCAGTCTAGCTAAGGGTTTGTCAATTTTGTTGATCCTTGTTACCCTGTTGTCATAGTCAGTTTGGGCTATTATAACAAAATGCCACAGCCTAGATGGTTTATAAACCACAGAAATTTATTTCTCACAGTTCTGGGGCTGGAAGTCTAAGATCAGGTTGCCAGAATGATCCAGTTCTGGTGAGGGCCCTCTTTTGGGTTGCTGAGTGCTAACTTCTTGTGTCCTCATGTGGCAGAAAGAGGGTGAGGGAGCTCTCTGGGATCCAAACCTTTTATAAGGGCATTAATCCAGTACACAAGGGCTCCACCCTTGTGTACCTAATTACCCTCCAAAGGCCCACCTCCAAATACCATTTCACTGGAGGGTGGGATTTCACCATACTTGGGGGAGACACAAACATTCAGTCCATAATAAGGTCACTGGAAATGTGTATTTTTTTCTTCATGTATGTGTATGTACTTATTTATGTGTATTTAAGAATGTATACATACATGTTATATAGTGTGCATACATATGTATATGCACACATGCACATACACACACACACACAGCAGATGGTATGTGGTAGAAAATCTCTGAAGGAGTATAACAGAGATTTGGTAACACTGGTTATCTCTGGAGAGGGAAATTGAGTGGCAGGCTCCTGCCAGAGCGGGAGGGAGACTTTTCACTGATATTTTTCTCTACATTTTGATTTTTGTACCGTGTGACTCTATTACCTAAAGAATAAATTTAAATAAATTTATTTATAAAGAATAAATTTAAATAAATTATTTGAAAAGGTGCTGAGCCAAGGAAGAAATGGCTGCGTTCAAGGTCTCTATCTGCCTTCCTACAACTTTGATCTGTTGTTTTCTTCATCCCATCACCTCTTCTCTTCCCCTTTCCCCTTTTGTAGCAATCTGGTCAAGGGTCTGAGAGGGATTCCAGGGTGCAAAGTTCTGACCCTGCTTCACTGTCTGGGAATAATAAAAGCTTTTCTCTCTGGTCTTCTACAGAGCGGCATGCTGGCTGGGCCCAGTCTGTCCTTGAGGAAGACACTTTGGAGCCTGAGCCTGTCTTCCCCAGGTGATCTTCCTTCCAGTTCCCTGCAGCTTGCTTTCCAGCCCCCATCTGGGTGAATGAGAGAGATTCTCATTGGCTTTCCTGAGGCACTTTTTGCTGAGGTCTCTCTTCTCCTAATATGTGCTAAGCTTTTGGAAGGGCTGGTATGTAGAGGCCAGAGGTGACCCACCTAGGTTCTTGCAGATGAAGAGCCCATGCACTTTTCCTCAGGGAGTAAGGCTTCACAGAAGAACTTGCTGACCCCTGGACAGGGTACATTAGGTATACTTTACCAGGTAATGAGAGGAGAGTGGGGTGGGGGTGGGGTGAGGAAGGTCAGGGGGACTGCATATAAATGTGTCTGTTTCTAGGCTAATTTTAGCTAAGACCATCTGCCTCTTACTAGTGTGGGAAGGAATCTGCTGAAATAGAGTTATTTGGGATTGTCCCTTAAAAACTATAAAACCCATAGAGGAAGTGACTTTGAGAAAAGTTCAGTGTTTGTTGACTGACCTCTTCCCCTTCATCCCTGCAGGACTGTGGGCACCATCCAGCACTGCCTTCACCTGACCTCAGTATATACTCATTTCCTGCCCCAGCATGGCCGCCCAGAGGTCACCACAATGCCCTTGGGTCTTGGAACGACAGTGGATTACATCTTCTTCTCAGCTGAGTCCTGCGAGAATGGGAACAGAACTGGTAAGCCTGGAGGATCCTGGGTTCATAGAAGCCACCCTCAGAAGTCCTTGGGAACAGCTGATGATAGGGCAGGCATTTGGTCACATGGCTTGGGCTGCTGGCAAAAGAGCAGACTCGCAAAAGAGCAAATTTCATATCTTCCTGGCACTGGTCATCATCATCATAATCCCCTTAGGCCACTTGCCTGCCTTCTTTTTTTATCTTTGCAGCATTAGAGAGAGGTGGGCAGAACCAGCCCTACCTCTATTTAAGAGGTAAAAATAGAGCACCAGGAGGCAAGTGGATTTTGAACATGGCAGCCATTTAGTGAGGGACTTGGTTAGGTTAGAGACCCTATTTCTTGTTTCTTCACCCTCTACCGGCAGTCACAGTGTGGCAGCCTACCAGCCGCATGCCTGTTTTATTTAAAGCATGTCTTTTAAAATGTTTGAATTGATTTCCCTATGTTTAAAAAATCAGATTTTATGTAGAAAATCTGGATTTCCAGCTTTTCTCAGAAAATCCGAAGTTTTCGTAGATGCTGGGCCTGGGCACACATTCTCCGGTTGCCACAGTCTCCCTGAAAACACCCTGCTTCGTTCACTGATATATCACAGAGTATCTGAGAAAGGGAGGCCTCAGCCAGAGGCAGCAGGGGGAGGTGAGGGAGGGTGGGGGAGCCAAGGGGATGCGGCCTCCATAAAGCATAGCTCCCACAGGCCCCAGCCACCCTGTGTAGTGGCCGTGGCTACTTTCCCTACTGGCTTCTGCTTTGTGCCGCAGATCGCAGGCTGTATCAAGATGGGACTCTCAAGCTTCTGGGCCGTCTCTCCCTCCTCTCTGAAGAGATTCTCTGGGCTGCCAACGGCTTACCCAACCCCTTCTGCTCTTCAGACCACCTCTGCCTGCTGGCCAGCTTTGGGATGGAAGTCACCGCCCCATGATGGGGCTCCCAGGGGAAGAGAGCTTCTCTTCCAGAAGAGCTCACTGGATCAGAGACTGTGGAAATACCCCATGCTTCTGGAAACTTAGATCCAAGAAACTTACGTCCCCTCTTCTCCTCTCCCCTTCCCCAATTCCCTTTTCCCATGGTTAGATTTTCTCCAGGCCTGTCCATGTTCTCTGCCTGTGGTCCCTGCCCCGCCCCAACCTCTTCCTAATCCTGTGCCACATACTCAGTGGCCCTGGGAGAGGCCAAAGCGGGGGGGGGGGTTCCCCTTTCCTTCCATGTATCCAGCGCTCCCCCTTAATTTTTAATTACCAGGGTTGTGGGAGCTATTGATCTCACTGGTTATTTGCTTTCAGGCCGTTTCTTGATGGTATCTTCTAACCCAATCTTCTTTCTGCTTTCATGACCTCTGGGTCCAGCCGTCTTGCCAGGCACACACATGTGAGGTGTGTAGCATGCATGTGCCCTCTCGGGGTGGGACTGCTCTGTACGGCCATGCCTGCCTCTGACCAGCCCACTTTCCACACTGGGGCTGTCGCCCTCCTGACAGGTCGAGGGCATGACCTGGTAGCTGTGTGCTGCCATGCAGCAGCAGGGGCATGGGCCCTTCTCCCCTTTTATCCCCTGTGTCTCATGAGGCGTTCATCATGCCACCCAGGGCATATACTCATCTGGCCGCTGGGAATGAATGGGCCTCATAGCCTGGAACAGCAGATTCAGGGCTGCACTGCCTGCCGCAGCAGCCTCTGAGCCTGCGACCCAGAGCTCCCACAGCCCTGGCATGCTTTCTCTAGGGCTCGTCCCTTTCCCCAGGCTGCTGTGAGAGAGGTGCCAGTGTGAGCCCCTGTGTGGGGTCAGTGGACTGGAATAAGAGTTTGAGATTTAAAGGACTAGAAAGAACCTTCAGGAAACTTCTTGTCTTACTGGACTCTGCCCCCTGCAGAACTGGGGCAAGGGTGGGAGTAAGAGCAGGCAGGCTGTGCGGCCACTTCAGCTGGGACCCAAGACCTCAGGGATTTGTTCTCTTTCCTCTGCACACCTCCGAAGCTTTCTTCTGTTCCTTTCCTCCCACGACTTTTTACCTCGCTGCTTCCCCCACTCCTATCCATTTTCTCCTAAAAAAGCCTGATACTTAGGTGGGGCCAAACCCTCTCTGCAAAAGGTGGCCTTGGGCAAGACCTGTCCAAGAACTCAAGGGGGCCGTGCTTTAGGATTTGTTCTGGCCAGCAAGACCTCAGCTGCTCATTGCCAGTGCTTTTCTTCCTAGCACAGGGCTACCCTGGCCCGTTCGGGGGGCCCCTTGCCCACGTGTATCACCTGCATGCCTTAATCTTTCATAGCTGGGGTGCAGCCTGGGTGTTCCTGGGCCGGCAGCTCCTCATACCTCCCTCAACTCAGAACAGCTGCTGGTCTTTGCAGATTAGCCTTGCTGCTGCCCCGCTCAGCCTCCGGAATGGGACTGAAGGGAATGGCGGAGAGGCTAGAATTAGGGACAGTTAGCAGGAGGTTCTCTCCCTCTTGTTTTGAAAGCCAAAGACCCCGCCTGAATTCTGCTGCTGTGTTCATGGTTATAAGCTTTCCACGCCCAGGTACTGGGGAATTTATCTGTGCGTGTGTATTTTTGAACATTGTCTCCTGGGCACTAGGCGTGTGCCTGTTTGAGCCCCAGGCCCACCTGTCCACACCCTACCCATCGTTCATGGTGTTTCTCTCTCCCCGGGCACCTGCTGAGATAGTCTCAAGTCAGTGCCCTATTGGTTTTCAGGACTAGGGCCCATCACTGTTCTCTTCTGCCAGGAAATGCAGTTTACAATGGCACAAGATGGCAGAGGGCAGGAGTTTTATAGATGATCTTTTCCTTGTTTTCTTATTTGTTTCTGTTTTGGAAATGAAATGGGGGTTTTAAGTGGTAATTTAAGCTCTCTTTTCCAAATAAAGGTTTACCATTCCCCCCCCCCCGCCCCGCTACTGTTGATCATTTTGTTAGGATCCTGAAAGGCACAGGGGAGGGAAGGCCTGGAGAGTGAGGTGGGCGAGAGGAAGGGACCGATCCTGGGCTGGGCTCTCAGGTCCTAAAGCTTGACCTGAGAAACGTATAATGGCCCTGTGATAATTGGCACATATCCCTGCTGCTCTGAGGCCTGCGAGGAACAGGGCCTGAAGAAGCCTCCTCGCTTGCCTTTTGTTGGGGTCCAGCTCTCTTCTCCCTCCTCACCAAGCTAGAGGACAGCTCCTTCAGCTGCTTTCATTCCCATTCCGTCGGCTGCCCCCATACCTTCCCCTGGTCCACATGCATTTCAGGAGAGTCTGAATGGAATGTGGGGTGAGAAGCATTTTCTTGGTCAAAGCCATGGCAGCTGCGTGAGGCATGATGTGCGCGTGGCAGTTGCCTCTTGCTCAGTGCCTATTTCTGATGATCTCTTTTGCATGCTGGAGTCAGAGCTGGACTGTGGGCCATCTGTTGCTGGAAGGTTTCCCTTCTGGGCCTCATTCTGCTGGTACTTTCGTCTTCTTCCAGTCTCCTTCTGCAGCAGGTCCATGAAACCCACATGCCCCTGGGAAGCCCTGAAACTAGGTGTGGCTTCCTGCCTTACCTGAGTAGAATCCCAGACCCCATACCTCTGAATCTGAGAATCTGAATTACTTAAAGTTACCTGGTGCTTCTGTTGAACCACCTGGGTTGGGATTCAGCCGAAAGAAAACAGCCAGAGATAAGGAACACCGCTTGGTCATGTTGGCCTGGTCATTTGGTGACTGTGGGTAAGTTCATTCCTTGTTGTTTTATATCTTGGTGAAATAGGAATTAAAGTAATAATCTTTTCCACCTGTGAGGAATTTTCAGATCTGAAATTGTGTCGTTTGGGCTTTGGCAAGCAAGGGATGCTAAGACTTGCAGAGTATCATTGGTAGACATTGAGGGTGGGTAGTTCTCCCCAGCCTGGCTGCATGGTTTGCCCATGGGTGAGGCATTATTTTGCAGCTCTAAGCTTTGAGGTGTGTCCCCAGAGACCCCTTCCTGGCCTGGAGGGTTTCCTGAGTCACGTGACATTGGCACAGACTTTTGCTAAGTTGAAACAGTACTTCCACTATCAGTTGACACTAGCTCGTGGCAGTGCAGGTGTTCATATATTACCTCTATTTACATCTGAGGAAACACAATTCCCAAAGAGGTAAATTGAGAATCTCCTTTGCTTTATTCCTGGACACTCTGCCCTCCTCAGAACATAGCCTTTCCCAGAGTAGGAGAGACAGGTTCTCTTGTAAGGCAGACCCATGGGGGGGTGGGCCTGGGAGAAGGGAAGTGACCGACCAGCCTGCTGCTGGCTTTTGTCTTTAAACTTTGTTTTGTTTTTTTCCCTAGTTCCTGCCCTGGTGTAGCAACTAACCGGAGGGTTGTTGTTTGGTTGGTTATGTAATGCACAGCGTGGCCTCTCTTCTCCCAGGAGTCGGAGGGAGCCCCCTCTTCTAGTTTCCACCTGAGGAGATGGAGGACCTGCGGCCCGACACTTCCAGCCTCATCCTGGTGCGCCTCCCCGCTCCTGAGCAAATGCGCAAAGCAAAACTGTTCTAGGCAAGATGAGAGCCTGCTAGGGTCAGCTCTCACCCCTGTTAGGAAAATGTGAACGGAATGTGTTTCCAAGGCGACTCTGCCTTCGGCCCCGTCCCTCCTCAAGTCCTCTGCTGCTGAGGCCTCACACAGCTGTGGAGAGAAGACTGGAGTCTCTACACTTAAATTCTGGGAGGTTTCATCTTTTCCACGACCAAGCCCTTTCTTGTTGGGGGTTGGAGGAAATGCATATCCCCAGAGAGCCGTCCCTCCAGCTGACCTGAGGTGGCCCATCTCCACCACCTGCCAAGCCTCAGCAGCCGGTCCCCTCACCCCCTTGGCAAACACTAAGGGTTACCAGGCAGTCCACATCAGGACCAGTTGTTTTGGTCTTTGCTATGACCACTTTTTCTTGTCACCACCGCCTTCCAGAGTGGTGGTCAAGAGGTCAGATCCTGGCAGATGGGGGTGACAGGGCTTTCAACCTCTTCATGTTCAGGCCTCCAAGAAGTGCCACCTGCATCCAAAAGTCCAACACAAATTAGTCATGTGGCTAAATGAGGCTGGGACATGTTGAGAGCCAGGAAGAAACAGGGCAGCAGGAAATGAGGTAACCCCTCTCCCCCATAAGTTGGGTCCTGATCCTCCCGGAAGTCCACGATGAGATTTACCTCTCTGCCAATTCTAAGCAGTGTCCACAATGAGCCTGCTGAACTCATGATCCCAGCAGACTCTGGTCCCAGCACTGACCCAACCCTCACTTGTACACCAGCGATCCAGGAGCCCCACTATGAATGAGCCCATGTCACTGAAGTCTACCCACAGGCCCTTGACTGGGTATTTTAGCTGGACTTGAATGTGTACATTATAATGTTGCCTTTGGGTAAAAGTGTATAATCCACATTACTCACAGATTCTGATTACCTTTACTGAAAGGTCTTTTTTGGGTATCATTTAAATTGGACTCAAATGAGCCTGTAAGTAGCAAAACTGCCTCTCTCTGGATGCTCTACAGTCTAAGACGTTCGTGGATTCCAGCAGGCTGCCTCTCTTCCGAGCTGCCATGCTTTACTACCACGCCCCTGAAAGTCAGCGAGTCTTGCTGTTTAGCACAGGACCTTATGGGGATTGGCTGGAATAAGGAGGAGGAAATACCCTACCTCTTCTTACAAGTGCAGGTTTTACTCTCAGCTGAATGAAAGGAGAGCAGAGGAAGGAAGGGTACAGGTGAAAACTAAAGCTGTGGGGTCTAAAAGCTATTTTTGTACAAGTCTGGTTGCCATGGTTGGGCTAGTCTTACAGCATGGGAAGGGGCCCAGAGCCAGAGGGAGCAAGGGTGATGGGTGGAACCAGAGGTGTTCTCCAAGGCGGTGGCTTTAGCCACCATAGATTCTGTGCTGAGACTGTGGGCAACTGTGCTGAGCAGGGACTTCAGATCCCTGTTGCTGTGGTTTTCTGAAATAACCTTTCCTCCTAGGGGAATACTCCTTCCTCCCTCAGTTCCTGGGGAGCTGCTGGGAACTGGGATGGGAGGAGCAGATGCCGGCCTGCGGGGCTCAGGCTGGCTGTGTGAAGGAGAAGAGTTCATTTCCAGCCAGCAGGAAAGATCTCCCAGGCTAGGATTAACAAGAGCAGAGTGGCTTAGGCAGGCGGAGGGTGATAGTCTGGGACCCCAGAAGTTTCACGACGACTACGGGGGCCTCAAGTTTTCCTTTTGGCTGGTTTGGGGCTCCCCTCATTTCTGGTCAGGTTCTTCCTGGAGCCACCGAGGCTGACACTGGTGGGTGGGGTGGGCTCTAGCCCCAGCTCCCAGGGGGAAGGAGACAAGGCTTCCATGTGGTTTCTGCCCAGCCCGT